CTGCAGCTGCGGCTGCACTACCAACGGCTGCTACTGCTGCACTACCAACAGCTGCTTCTGCTGCCGCTGCACAAGCTACTGCTGCTGCTGCGGCACCAACTGCTGCACTGCTGCTGCGGCACCAACTGCTGCACTGCTGCTGCGGCAGCTCACTGGCTGCCCAGCGCCCCCCCGCAGCCGCGCGGACCTCTGAAGGTGTCCTTGCTGCTGCAGCAGCAGCAGCAGCAGCCACCGCCACAGCAGCAGCAGCAGCAGCAGCAGAGCGCAATTCCAAATAAATATGTGCATGTGAATCCACTAGTGTCACTACACTTCATAAGGCGCCGACCCTGGCTTCAGCCCACTGCACCAGCAGCAGCAGCAGCAGCAGCAGCAGCAGCGTAACCCCTGCAGCGCTCGCGCTGCAGCAGCAGCCTAGACCCCGCAGCACTGCTGCTGCAACTCACTTAAAACAATTTAGTAAGCAAAGGAGACACATTAACAGCAGACAAATACTTCGCAGCCCGTGCTGCAGGTGTAGACACACCCCACAATTGGGGCCCCCAGGGGCCCCCACTATGCACAACGCGGGGCCCCCCAAGGGGCCCCCCAAAGAACCCCCTAAGGGGCCCCCCAAAGGGCCCCCCAAGGGGCCCCCCGAGAGGCCCTCGAGGGGCCCCCTGGGGCCCCCTTGGGGACCCCGTGGGGCCCCCGTGGGGCCCCCGTTGGCCCCTTTACGGCCAAGGATACGTTTACTGCCAAGTACCCTGTGGCCGCCTGGGGGCCCCTGGGGGCCCCTGGGGACGCTGAGGACCCTTCAGAAGGCCTGGGGGCCCCTGAGAGCCCCTGGAGGCTCCTGGGGGCCCCTAGGAGCCCCTGAGAGCCCTTGGGGGCCCCTGGGGGGCCCCAGCTGCTCGCAGTCCCAGGGGGCCCTTTAAACTATTGACATGTCTCGGGCTAGCGGCGGATGGGCGGGTGAGGGGGCCCCAGGGGGGCCCCCGTCGGGGGCCCCAGGTGGCCCATTTGGGGCCCCCCGTGGGGGCCCTGCCTGGGGCCCCAGGCCCCGGGAAGGGACCCCACAGCCCCCTGTGCTGCTGCTGCTGCTGCTGGATTTGGAGGGTATGGGGGGCCCCCCTGTGGCGCTGCAGGTCTTGGAAGGTGTGGGGCCCCCGAGGCCACGTGTTTGGGCTGTGGGGGGCTCCCCAGAGGGCCCCCCGGCTGCTG